GATATGGTGAAACTGCAAACCTAGTAAAAATACAAAAAAGTAGCCGGGCGTGGTGGCACATGCCTGTAGTCTAAGCTACTCGGAGGCTGTGGCAGGTGAATTGCTTGAACCCAGGAGGCGGAGATTGCAGTGAGCTGAGATCACACCACTGCACTCCAGCCTGGGTGACAGAGTGAGACTGTCAAAAAAAAAAAAAAAACAAGTATTGTATGGTAAAAGTTCACCCCTCGCACCTCTCTGCATATGCATCTCTGAGCTTTAATGTTCACCAGAGAACCGCGTCCATCACACGACCAGGCACAGAACACTGGGCAGTCTGCAAAAAAAACAGTCCCCAGCGGCCACCCGGTCCCCAGTAGCCACCCGCCTTTCTGACCTGGCCTCGTCCCTCCAGCTCTGCCTTTTCCAGAGTGCCACAGAAATGGACAAAAATGGTGTGTGCCCTCGACACAGCTCTCTCACTCAGCATGATGCCTTTGCGATCCGTGCTGTTGCGTGTCAGGGATCCGTTCCTCGCTGTTGCTGAGTACATCCCATTGCACCATGTACCCAAGTGTCCTTGTCTTTGAGAGGCCGAGGTGGGCAGATCACCTGAGGTCCGGAGTTCAACACCAGGACAGCTGGGTTTCCAGTGGGTGGCAATTTTGAATAGAGCTGCTGTGAGTGTGCGTTACAGATCTTTGTATGGACACATGCTTTTATTTCCTTTGGACCAATTCCAAGGGGTAGGATTGCTGGGTGCTGTGTGTTTAACTTGTAAGAAGCTGCCAAACTGCTTTCCAGTGACTCTGGTGTGTGTCGCTCTGCACGTTCAGAGTGAGTGGAAGTCCCAGCTGCTCTGCTCCTCTCCAGCACTTGGTATTTGCTTCTTTCATCTTTCATACTTCTTAAGCCATTCTAATATGTATAGTTGGTATCTCGTTTGGTTTTAATTTGCATTTCCCTAATACCTAATAATTTTGAGCACCTTTTCATGTGCTTATATGCTATCAGTGTATCTTCTTTGGTGAAATGTCTGTTCCCATATTTTGCTCCCCCCCACCTTTTTTTTTTTTTTTTTTTTGAGTTAGAGGCTCACTCTGTCGCCCAGGCTGGAGTACAATGGCGTGATCTCAGCGCACTGCAACCTCTACCTCCCTGGTTCAAGCGACTCCCCTGCCTCAGCCTCCCGAGTAGCTGGGATTACAGGCGCACACCACCATGCCCAGCTAATTTTCTCACTTTTTACTAGGTTGTTTTCATATTGTTGAGTTCTAAGAGTTCATGTATTTAAATGTTCTGAATAAAATCTTTGTCAAATACGTGATCTGTGGCTGGGTGTGGTGGCTCACGCCTGTAATCACAGCACTTTGGGAGGCCGAGGTGAGTGGATCACTTGAGGCCAGGAGTTTGAGACCAGCCTGACCAACATGTAGCTGGGACTACAGGTGCATGCCGCCATACTTGGCTACTTTTCATATTTTTCATGGAGACAGGGTCTCCCTATGTACCCAGGCTGCTCTCAGACTCCTGGGCTAAAGTGATCCACCCACCTCAGTTACCCAAAGTGTTGGATTACAGGTGTGAGCCACCCTGCCCTGCCTCTACTTTTAATATATGCTTGAATTTGCCTGGAAGTTTTTTTTTTTTTTTTTAAGATTTTATTTATTTATTGAGACAAAGTCTTACTCAGTTGCCAGGCTGGAGTGCAGTAGTACGATTTTGGCTCACTACAACCTCCGCCTCCCCGGTTCAAGTGATTCTCTTGCCTCAGCCTCTCAAGTAGCTGGAGCTACAGGGATGTACCACCATGCCCAGCTAATTTTGTATTTTTAGTAGAGACAGGGTTTCACCATATTGGCCAGGCTGGTCTTGAACTCCCAACCTCAAGTGATCCACCACCTCAGCCTCCCAAGTGCTGTGAATATAGCCGTGAGCCACAGTGTCCAACCCAGAAAATTTTTAACTATTAATTCAATTTATTTAATAAGTATAGGACTATACCAGCTATGTATAATCATCATGATGAGTTTTAGTAGTTTGTGGCTTTCAAGAAAAATGAAGATTGGTACCTTTTGTTTAAGTAGTCAAATTTTTGTGCATGAAGTTGTTTATAGTATTTCTCAGTAGTCTGTGAGGTCTATAGTTCTTTCCTTCTTTTACTTCTGATAATGGCAACTTTTGTCTACTTTTTTCCTTGTTTGGGTAGAGGTTTTATGAATTTTACTGATCTTCCCAAAAGAACTAGCATTTGGTTTTATTTTATTTATTGTTTATCTCTTTTCAGTGTAGTTGTTCCTCTTTGTTGTTATAATTTCCTTCCTTTTGCTTACGTGGGTTTAATATGCTCTTCTAGTTTCTTAAGATGAAACCTTAGGGCCAGGCGCAGTGACCCAGAAATCCTAGCACTTTGAGAGGCCGAGGTGGGCAGATCACCTGAGGTCCGGAGTTTGAGACCAGCCTGGCCAACGTGGTGAAACCCCATCTCTACCAAAAATGTAAAGAAGTAGCCAGACACGGTGGTGCGAACCTGTAATCCCAGCTGCTTGGGAGGCTGATCCTGGGAGGTGGAGGTTGCAGTGAGCTGAGATCTTGCTGCTGCACTACAGCCTGGGTGACAGAGCAAGACTGTCTCAAGGAAGATGGAATCTTAGGTTGTGTATTTGAATCTCTCTTGTTTTCTGACATAAGCACTCAATGCTGTCCATAATCATTCCAGCCCTGCTTAGCTGCACCCAGCAGATTTGACGTGCTGTGTCATCTCCATGACATCTAGCGTGTTCTCTGATTTCCTTAGAGAAGTCCTTCGATCCATAGGTTATTGAGGAACATGTGTTTTAGTTCTCCAAGCAGTTGTGGATTTTCCAGCCATCTTCTGTGACAGATTGCTTGTCTGACTCCATTTTGGTCAGAGAACATACTATATGATGTCAGTTCTTTTGTGTTTGTGAAGGATTTGTGGTGTGACCCAGCATATGGTCTGTCTTGGTTCATGTCACCTCTCTCTCAGTCTCTCTCCTGCCTTGCTTCCTCTTGCATTTTGTTCCGTAAGAGAGAGCCTTTGGAATCGGTGCAGCCCCGGGGGAGCAGGTGGAGCCGGGGCCAGGGTCCCCGATGGAGGAGCACCCCTTCAGGCATGGCCTACGGCCTTCGGTGCTCCTGCCAAGTCCTAGCACGCTCCGACTTGATGCCTGACTTGTTTCGTGATAAACTGAGGGTGAGAATGACTTTAAAGCTCCCCGGTAGCCTCAGAGTGCACTTTGTGCTACAGACACTGGCGGGCGACAGTGGACGGGCAGACTGCAGCTGGGAGAACGACTTGAGGGCCTCTAATGGAGACATCTGTATTAGACAGGCTTTTCATGCTCACTGTTTAAGCTCCATGCCTGTTTGCCTAAAAACCTGGACTTAAAAACATCTAACTTGGAACTCAGAAAAATAAAGCATCTGACCTGGGTAGGCCCGTCTTCCAGTTCTGGAAAGCAGACTCATTTCTGGGTTAGTCCGGTATTGCTTCATGAGCTGCATCGATCTCATCTTGTTTGGAACAGGCCGCCCTGTGCATAACTTGGTCCCATGCACACTCACACAGCCCAGCTGGTGGCTTTGGCGGCTGTCAGGTGCTGCTCAAGTCTGCAGCTCTGTCTGCGGAGAGCACCCCAGGGCCCCGCCCACATGGTTCCTGCACCCCTGTCCACACAGCTCCCCACCGCACCCCATTACCTGTGTGGCTCCCCCACCCCGTCCATGTGGCTCCCCCGCCCGCACGGCTCCCCCTCTGCCCGCCGTCCCCCGTTCTCCATGTACCTCCCACCCGCTACCCCGATGTCAAGTCAGGCACCTTCTACCCAGGGAACTCTCGCGTCTGTCCTTGGCTTCTCTGAGCTCAGTGGAGTGTAAACGATGTCACCATCATCACTGAAGCAGCCGGGATGGGCGTGGGGTCTCCATGGCCTCCATTTTACGCGTGGACTGACAGGTGCTGAGGAAGCCCTGTGACGTCCTGGGGCCGCCCAGGCAGTCATCCCTGGGCTGTGTCCATCAGGTGCAGGGATGTTGGGGAAGGGCCTAGGCACCTGTGGTGGCTGCATTCGTGGCCTGGCTGTGGCTGGTAGCTGTTCTGCTGTTTTACGTTCATACTTTGAGGGCCAAGCACCAGCCCAGGAGGTGAGTGCCGCAAGTCCAGACTTCCCGAAGGGAAAGTATCCCCAGCACAGGCACAGCCACTCAGAGCTCGCTGGTCTTGGAGCCTGAAGCTGGGCGGGGCAGGCAGTGCCATCCCCTTTCTGGATGGTGGTGCCTTCACCCTCTGCTGTCCTGAGCAAGAAGAAAAATGAGCCAAGCTTCAAAGAGAGCTGTGCCAGAGTTTCCGGAACGCTTGCCGGTGCAGCTGTTGCCCACACACCTTCAGGCATGGGCAGGCGGTGTGGGCATCTTCACGGGATGGAGTTGGGCCCTGGCGTGTGTACGGCCAGTCCCCCTAGAGAGATGCTCGTTCACTCGGGGCAGAGTGGAGGGGCCTGCACCCGCACCACTCCTCAGGGACAGAGCCCTGGACACTGTGGGCATGTCATTCAGACCGTTCCTGGCGTCTCTAGGACTCCTGTGGCCTCAGGACAAAATGACAGAGGTGAAACAAGCAGAAAGAAGGTTGGGGGAAAGTATGTGCCAGCCACGGGCCGGGGGCCTGGGGTGGGCAGGATCGGGAGGCTGGGCTGGGTGGGGCCATGGGGAGGGAGGCCTGTGCTCTCGCAGCTGGGAGCTGGCTCAGGACTCTCAGATCTTCCGTCATCTCCCCCTGCCGGCCTGTCACACACCCACTCAGTTCCGGGGCAGGGAGGCTTGTCCTCAGGGCCTTCAGGAGATGGGGCCACTGACCTGGCAGCCACAGGATGCTGAGGGGCGGGCGCTCACCACAGGCAGGGACCACCGGGCTCCTGGGGTGACGCTGTGCAGAAACACACAGGACACGTTGTGATGAGGGGCGGAGCCCTGAGGCTGAGCTGTGCCTTACTTTGCAGGTTGTGCAGCCTGACTCTGAAGAAGCTGGTCGTCTTCAAGGAGCTGGAGAAGGAGCTGATCTCTGTGGTGATCGCCGTCAAGATACAGGTGAGGCCCCTGGTGCCCTGGCCGTGGCTGGGCGCCATCGGCTTTCCACATGCCTGGGAGACGGGTCAGCCAGTGCACCACCGTGAGGCCTTGCGCCAAAACAGTGGGTAGCCCGTGCCATCTCCGGGAGCTGAAGGGTGGCGGGAATGATGGGACTGTGGTGCTCCTGGGAGCGGTCCTGTCCTGGCCTTCTGGGATGTGGAGGTCAGGTGCACAGGGCCTTCCCGGGGCAGAGGTGCTCTCGGGCCACCTCACTGATGGATGGGCCCTGAGCGCCTGGAGCCAGGGCTTCCCTGCTGCACTCAGCGCCCACTTCCTGCCGGCTTTCTATGGATGGAGGGCGTTGGTGGGAGAGAAGAGCCGACGCTCCGGGAGGCAAGGACCCAGCCAGAACTCCCAGCCCCTGGTGCCAGGGCCTCTCTTCTGACTCTAGTGGGGCCTGTGACCTCTCGAAGGCTTTGAACACATGGCCGTTCCAGAGGGGCTGTGCCGGCGTCTTCCGCACACCTGGCCCAGGCCCCGCCCCCTCCATGGGGTAGAGCTGCCACGACCCCTGTGGCATTATCTTCTCCCAGTGAGCCAGCCAGGGGGTGTCCCCGCCAGCTGTCAGGGCGGTGAGGCTCCAGGTGTGTGGTCTGTGTGCAGCGGCCTGTCCCTGGCCGGCACCAGTCATGGGTAGTTCTCACCCGTGTCCTCGGCTTACAGCAGTGCCCTTCTGTGTGGCTGTCCAGCATGACAGGGTGGGTCTCAGTGGCTGTCGTGCTCCTCACCCCACCCCATCAGCCCCTTGAGGACGGGGCCCTGCTCATGGAGCCCACGTCCAAGGCCCTGCATAGGTCCCTGGAGCTGGCTGGATTCCTGACACCACTGTGGCTCTGACGCGGGGTCTCCGGGCCCCTCGGACCTGCGGAGCAGCCCCTGAGCCCCGGCCAGCATGGCTGAGGTCACTGGCCAGCAGCGGGTCTGGAGTGTGAGAAGTCCCGAGGCATGTCATCCTTCCCAGGCGGCTCCTGCTGTGTGAAACTTACTATGTCTTAAATAAACGTCTGGAGAAACCCTTTTCCTCACTGAAGATGCTCGTGGGTTAGCAGCAGCCTGCATGTGTGGCGCATGCTGGTGGCCAGGTTCCCGGGTGGTGGGGCCTTCCAGGAGCGTGTGGCTGGTGGCATGATGGAAGCATCTTCCTACCCGGCTGCCTGTGCCCAGGGTGCCCAGGAGCTGCTGCAGTCTGGCTGGGGGTCATCCCTGGGGCACGAGGAGCTGTCTGTGGGCTGTTGCCACCAGGCTGTGAGGTTGTGTCTGGGCCTCATGGCTTGCAGTGGGGTGGCAGGGTGGTCAGCATTCTCACTGGGTCTTCAGAGCAATGCATGAAGGCAAGAGCCGACCTCTCACTGGCTTCTGAGTCTGGTGCTGTTGACCTCTAACCCCTGGCATGGGACCCCCACCTCACAGCGACCCTGTTCCTTGGCCCCCTTTCTCCCTCGGCCTGTCTCTGGTCCTGCCCCAGGCTGCATCCTGACTGAGAGCTTGGCCCAGGGCCCTCAGAGCCCCACCTCTCCAGCCCCTCTGTATCCTGTGGGCTTGCTGCCTATGCCCACCCTGCCCATCCCAGCTCAGCACCCATGTGGCCCTTGGCCTCCCTTGCTCACCCCCAGCTCCTCACCTCTTCTCTCTTGGGCTGTCCTCTCTGCCCAGGTCCCCTGTGGGGAAGCAGCCAGCCCGGCTGCCATAGCCCCACCAGCCCCCGTAGCCCTACGTGCACTCAGCCTTCTCTGGCATGCACCTTTGCCTCCCCAGCTTGTGGCACACGCTGGTCTTTTTCTATCATAGCTGGGTCCCTGGAGGTCCTCTAGGGGGGTGCTGAGAGGGGCTTGACGCAGAACACATTTGCAGGGAAACATCTCTGAAGGGTTAAGGGGGGATGAGCAGGGAGAGCCCAGACCACAATGCAGGGGCACCCAGGGAGAGGAGAGGGGACAGGAGGGCTGGCCGAGGAGAGCACCCGAGGTCCCAGCTCAAGGGCGGGACCAGAGCCCACCACGGGTGCCTCCTGGAGCCCGAATGTGGCAAGCAGGCCACGCACACCTGTCCTGAGGCCCTGCTGCTCCACCCAAACCTGGGCTGGCCCCCCCACCCGCCTGCCAGCTGCCTGGCACCCTCATCCGTTGTGTCCTGCATGCCGACCGCTGGGAGCTCGTGCCTGCGGCCCCACAGTGTCTGCTTGTTTCTTGGAGCACGCAGTCCCCGGGCACATCCTTGTTGGGATGGCCTCTTTTAAAACAGCACTATGATAAGCACGTTCCATCCATTAGGAATCTACTTGGATATAAAGTTTGTGGTTGGGGTCCTGTTGTCTTTCATGAAAATGACCCATTACCCATTTAGCACAGGTGTGTGCAAATGCCTCCTGCTGGCCTGAAGCTCACTGGGTATGACCTCAGCGTGTTTTCAGGTGGCCATGCATTTCCTGCGTCTGCACCAAGGCCCCTCCTCCTTGCCTCTTTAAGTGTTGTCTCTGTATATTTTATTCTCTGAGAGGACCAGTCAGCCCTGCTCATTGTTCTTTTTAGAAAATGCTTTAGGCCAGTCGCAGTGGCTCCAGCCTGTGATCCCAGCACTTTGGGAGGCTAAGGAGGATGGATTGCTTGAGCTGGAGACCAGCCTGGACATCATAACTAATCCCTGTCTGTGTATTTAACAAAATACATAGCACTTTGGGAGGCCGAGGCGGGTGGATCAGCTGAGGTCAGGAGTTCTTGACCGGCCTGACCAACATGGAGAACCCATCTCTACTAAAAATACAAATAAATTAGCTGGGCATGGTGGCGCATGCCTGTAATCCCAACTACTCGGGAGGCTGAGGCAGGAGAATCACTTGAACCTGCGAGGCAGAGGTTGCTATGAGCTGAGATCACTCCACTGCACTCCAGTCCGGGCAACAAGAGCAAAACTCCATCTGAAAAAAAAAATACAAAAATTATTGTATTTTTTTGTGATGGTACATGCCTGTATTCCCAGATACTAGGGAGGCTGAGGCTGGCGATTGCCGGAGCCTGGGAGGTCAAGGCTGCAGTGAGCTGAGATCGTGCTGCTGCCCTACAGCCTGGGTGACAGAGAGAGACCCTGTCTCAAATAATAATAATAATAATGGTTTTAAGCCAAGCATGGAGGCACCTGCCTGTAGGCTGAGCTACTTGAGAGGCTGGGGCAGGAGGATTGCTTGAGCCCAGGAGCTCAAGTCCAGCCTGAGCAACACAGCAAGACCTGTCCCTCAAAACCAAAACCAGAAGAGGCTTGGTGCCTCCCACATTTGTTCTTCCAGACGCACCTGGGCAGCGCGGTCAGGTGCCTCTGCATCTGGACATGGAACCTGTTTTGTGATCGGTTAACCTCAGCAGGCACCACTCCTGGCTTCTCTCTCAGGTCCTGGGGCAGATTCCTGGAGGTAGAACCTGTGGGCCGAGGGGTCTCAATGTTTATAAGGTTCTTGGGATGAAGCCAGGGCACCTCTGAGGATTATCCCTGAAGTTTCCCTCTGAGATGAAGTCCTTTCAACTAGAACAGGTCTTGCTTAATCACAGGGCTCCAAACGGATCCTGCGGTCCCATGAGATTGTGCTGCCCCCCAGTGGACAAGTGGAGACAGACCTGGCCCTGACCTTCTCCCTGCAGGTGAGTTTTTCCCCAGTTTGGACCACGCCCTCTTCCGTGGCCCCCAGGGAGATGAGCACTCCCCATCACTGTTCCCTGGGGTGATGGGCACCCCTCATCCGTGGCTCCTTGGGTGATGGGTAACCCTATCACTGCCCCCTGGGGCAATGGGAACCTCTCATCAGTGTCCCCTAGGATGATGGGCACCCCTCATCACTGTCCCCTGGGGTGATGGGTACCCCTCATCAGTGTCCCCTGGGGTGACAGGTATCCCCCATCGCTGTTCCCTGGGGTGATGGACCTTTATCAGTGTCCCCTGGGGTGATGGGCACCCCTCAACACTGCACACCAGCCTGGGCGACAGAGTGAGATTCCGTCTCAAAAAAAAAGAGAGAGAGAATGTAATAATGAGGGCAAAAAAACCACTTATCAAGTCAAGACTATTTTGCTCTTCTGTTTAAAAAGACGGGAAAATATATGCAGCCTTGGTATTGTAAGTTCAGAGCCTGGAGTCTCTGGCTGCGCCTGCAGCTCACACGGCCTGTCCACGCAGTGCCGCCCACCCTGGGCGCCTCCGAGGCCTGCCCTGGAGTGGAGCAGAGAGGCCTCCCCTGGACTGTCCAGGTGTTGGCTGGAGGGCCCACCCAGATGGCCGCACACCCTACCTTTGTTTTTTTTCTGATTCATTGTGATGAGGTTGGTGTTGTGTAGATTTTGCAGGGTATTTTCTCTGGCTTCATACACTTGCTTTAAGATGAATAGCTCTGCATGTCCGCTCATTCCGAGCTCATTAGAAGCCTTCTTCTCAGTGAAAGTGTGTGAGCCGGGCTGGGGCTCCATGAGGTCTGTGGCGACCTGCTGGGCGTGGCTCTGGTTCTGAGGCTCTCAGCTGGTTACATAGGAGCTGGGGTGTCCTGGCGGACGTCACCAGAACAGCTTCTGGATTTTGGAGTGAGTTTTTCTGTCTTGAGGAGTCAGGTTTATGGAAGGATAGTACACAGTGCTCTGGGTGTTTTTTTTTTTTGTTTTGTTTTGTTTTTTTGAGACGGAGTCTCACTTTGTTGCCCAGGCTGGAGTGCAGTGGTGCAATCTTGGCTCATTGCAACCTCCA